AGCTATCCATTGATGAAATTTCAGTTGCAACAACACTTTTATGTTACTCATGAAAAAGAAAAGACGGTGAAATAACAGCGATGAATGATACCAAAATATCTCAAGCGCTGGTAATACATGTAGAAAAGATCATTGACAATGTGGCAGAAGCTTGCAGGTTGGGCAGTACCACTTTCCCTTGAATCTTGTCTCCGGTGTCAGCCCAACACATGCGTAGTGGAACCATTCACCTCCTTGACACTGTGGGGAACATACAGGGCAGGCGTAAGTACCTTGAATCATTTGCTCAAATCTAAATGTGTATATACTGGAAATTAAACTTTACAAAACAAAACAAAGGTCTTTTGAAGAAACAAGTTAAGCCATTTTAGACAGTTCAGGTTGTAGTTCTACCCCAAGCTTCTTCACATTAAGCAAACATTCAAGCATGTAATTATAGCAAATACGTTAATATGTGTTCAACTAAAACAAGAATAGTTTGCCTGCAATGGTGTGTGTTGTGGTCTGCCAACTTCCTATAACTAATTGCACAGATCCAAAGTTCACATCAAGAAACCAGGTTGAGAATTACAAGCAAATATAAAGAGAACGGCTTACATTTTCATTGTCACAAGCAATCATATCTCCAAAAGACACCTGAATGGTTAATAATACAACCCGTCAGAACCACAGTGGAAGTGTAGAACCAAGGAAGCAATTAAATAAATGTGCAAAATAACAAAAAAGGGAGAACCTGATGGCAGACACAGTAAGTAGGTTCATTTGGATCAATGGGTTGATCAACATCAAGAGGGGTGGCAAAGTCCTTCTTATGGCTTCCTGGAGGAGGCATTAGCTCAAAATCCCTATCCCGATCCCAATCCCTGTAATCCAGCCTCTTTGATTGAGGTGTTCCATAAAAGGACTTGCGTTTCTCAAATTTAGGAACTATAGGTAATGGAGGAAGAACTGCTGGCTCATCTTGTGGTATTTTTCCTTCTGATAACATTTCAAAAAGAGGAAGGAAAATAATAAAATGGAAAACATAATCAAACAAGAAATTGATAAATTATCTCAAGGAGTAGTTCATCAAATACCATGCCTTAGATCATCTCTGAAGTTGTTAAGGTCCTCATCAAGACGTTTTATGTGGCTATCTATCTGTAAGAATTAAAATGCAGCAGAAGTCTATAAGCTCTAACAATTATAACTTTCATAAACTTCACAAAAGTGCATGCCTGCATAAAGTTGCACACATTGAAAGAGAAGGTTTATTGAACAGGTACAATTTTTGGGATTAGTAGAGGGAGAAAGGCACCATGGAAGCCCCGGCCAAGTGAGTGGAATACCCAAATGGTTACCAACCATGGCAGAAGCCTAGGTTCACTTTGAAAGAGAATTAACAAATGAGTTTAGAGTACATCGTATCAGTAGTCTCAGCCGGACAAGAAGCTATAATCCAATAACTTATAGAGTAGAAAAAACCAAAATTATTACAAAGCATAAAAAACCAATTAGTCCAAGTGCCTAAATTTCTGATCCCCATTTTGAGTCTTGCAAGTTTAATCAGAGTGGTACCAAGTTCCATGGATCCTCCACCTCATAAACACTTTTATTAAGTTTATGAACAATAAATTCATATTAACTCTTAACTCCACACCTCTTGTACATTGTATACATAAGTTTGTCCAGCAGGATGAATGAAATGAGAATAATTTAACAGAGAAGAAAGATTTGCTAGACACTACTTGAGTGAAACTCTGCATAGAAACTATCCCCTTTTAAGGAACCCTACATGTTACTAGTTCCCTCAACTAAATCTGAATAGCATTAACCATACACTTAAATAAATGAATTATCATGTTAAAGTAATGCATTTAATAAAATGATATAAGAACCGCCAACTAAAAGGCATTTGCCCAAGAGAGAAACTCACCAAGTCATAAGCTTGACGTGCCAACAAAACCTTCTCGGTACATAAGCTCAAAGCATTTTCCTGGCTAGCCTCTATTTCTTTCCGCATTTTCTCTATTGTCTCCTCATCTTCATTAGCATAATGATAACCATTCCCTTTCTTTGCTGCCACACCCAGACAATACTTTGTCTGTTGCCTTGCTTGATTAATCATAGCTTACAACCAAAACACAAATGAACAAATAAACAAACCAAATATATATATATATATATATATATATTAACCCCAAATCTCAAAAACCCCAACTTTACATTCCACATATACGAATACATGCATATAAACATGTATAGGGCTTACATTGGGATCTGTCATCTAGTTCCCGGATGGTATTGAGGAGTCTCTGAAGCTCAGCCGGCAATGTGCTTGCATCTATTGAAATTAAAATTCAAAAATTTAAATGAAAAATCCAAACTCAAATAGGAACAAAATAATGAAGATTTTGAAACAAAACTAATTACAGGAACAGTAACAAACTTACACTCCAGATAATCATCAACGTAAACTCCAGTTCGTGCAATTGCCATTTCTGGTTAGGGATGTTTGGTTCTAGGGTTTTGCTATTAGAGAGACTTTCCTTCAAATAGTGAAACAAGAAAGACAGCAGATTTTCGCTATCAGAGATAATCCTAATGCTAAGAAAATCATCATTACAACAGAACATCAAAAGCAAACACCAGAGAATCCATCAAATAGCCAAATTCAGGAAAACTAGTTAGAACTATGGTGCTTTGTGAAGTCAACAAAAGACATTTAGGAATGTGATTTCAAACCCCTCTTAGCTAAATCATTAAAAGCAATATCTCCAAGTTCACAACTTCCAACTAAATTACATTTAGAATGGGATTCACACCACATCCATACAGAGTCACACAACAACAAACGTATAAGCATGTTTAAACAATATTTTCCGAGAAGGTAATTTAAATTAAGTTCCTGAAAAAAGAGACAGGGCCTGGAAAGATGGAACAAACAAATACAGTAGTCAGCTATTCAACTTCCAACATATGGAGTAAAATACAAAGAATACAGAAGAGATTTGAAGAAAAGCCTTATTAGTGGGTTTTGGAATACAATTTCTGAAGACTACCCATTCCCAACAAAATGGAGCTCAAGCAGTGTGCAAAACATGTATATACTTCTGCATCAAATCAAAATGTAATTTAATACAGAAAGATCATAAAAGAGACTTACTGATGAGTGGGAATAATGCCAGAAGGGTGCTAGGAAAGATCTACGGGCTGGCTACCTTCCAAGCAACGTTTCCCTACCATTCCAAAAATCAAACAAATTTTGTAAAAAAAATTATGGGTATCTCTTCTCCAATAAAACCAAGACAACCCAGATGGGATTCAATCTCGATCGGAGAAAATCAAATATAACCAGAATCAAAACCTAGGGTTTCAGAAAGATGACGAAAATTCAACGCAAAATTATTAGGTAAAAGAAGGAAGGTTTTTGAAAACAGGAGTCTTTTATAGATTTTGATGTTTAAGAGAGAAATCGTCGAGGATTGAGAATTGAGGCGTGAGGGATTCGGTTGAGTGAGCGGGGCAGCGCGCAGAGGATAAACGGGGCGAAAAGCTCTAATAAGGATAGGTTAAATGTGTGGTCCCTTAACTCTCAGTTTTAAGCCATTCTGGTTCTTAAACTTTATTTTCCGTAAAACAGTCCATAAATCTATTTTTGGTTAATAAATTCACTTTTTATTTAAAAATAATACATAAAAATAAGGTGATTAAAATTTTTGCTTATTTAGGCTTCATTTGGGAGTACAGTTTTGGGCTATAGCTAGCTAGCTGTAAGTTTTTTTTTTTTTTTTTACTATCTTAAAAATATAAAATAATAAATTAAATTAGTAAATGTATATAAAACTTAACAAATAAATTAAAATTAATTAATAATAATAAATTTATATTTTTAGTCTAGTATTGTATGAAAAAGATTTGTATAAAATATTCTCAAATAAAGCCTTGGACTTTGTTGGCATTTTATGTGACACATGGATTATAAAAATTGAATATTTTGAATTTGCTTCTATGTTACCTAGGTAATTTTGGATCCAGTAACATTAATATTACTTATTGAATCCAAACTTAAGGGAACTAAATAACATTTATTTTAAATTTTGTTTTTGCCTCCTAGGGTAGCGTTTGCGTGAGAGTTTGGCTCCTCTCGATGAGGGCTTTTCTCGTTTGTTTGTTATTTATTTATTTATTATTATTATTATTATTTTGGTTGTTTTGTGTCCCTTCATTCTAGTGATCTCGTGAGGACTATGAAATGGTGAATTGTGCGTTGTTTTAGGTGAGATTGAGGAATATAGGTCTCAAGGGATCGAATTCTAACTTGAGGTTGGGTCTCTGACTAACTAGTACAAAGGCATGCGCTAAGCAAGTGTTGTGGGGTTTTCTCGATGTAATTTGGACGAGCAATTACACATGAGTGCAAGGTGCTTATGGTATTCCAACAAGTTTTTGCATGGGTGGTTTATGGCAATTGAGTTTGTAGAGTTTTGAAGCACGATGGGGTTGAGGAAAAAAACAATAGGAGCGGATTAGACTAGAGTTCTTACGTAATTGGTTTTGTTTTGTGTTTCTTAAGGAATTAATCTATAACTTAAGCTATTATGAGTTGTAAGTTGTTTAATGTTAAGAAAATAATTGATATACATTTAGTTTACACACTTTTTAACATGTGTTTAGTTTAATAATTAAAAATATAATATAAATGCAGTTGATTTAGTTAATATCTGTATTTTATGTGTATAATTATATTTTTAAGTTTATTTATTTCTAATTTTAAATTAAAAATAATAAATTTTTCATAAATATGTTGTGTATTGTATTAAACTAAAATGTGTATCAATCACTATACTTAATGTTAAGATTTGGGTTAATAAGAGGAGAAAAAGAGATTGTGCCCTACCTATGTTAACTAAATAAAAAATGATGTTTCAGTAACAGCAAAGCTGTGGGCAAACACTGGCTTTTTCCTTGATGCTTAGAAGCAGGGGATCATTAGGTTTACAATACAGTTTTTTCACCTATATGGTCCTTCAAGGGAAAATGTGTATATCCATTAGCAAAGACTTTTAGTGCGCCCAGAAAAGGGTTGGAATTTAAGATTAACGTTTTTTCTTAAACCTCTTTAGTTTAAGCATCTTTGATGTGCTTTTCTGCAAGATGATTCTAGCTCCCTATTTTGTTATATATTTTATATTATTCTCAATAAAAAAGTGCATTTACTCTAAATAATTATGAGTGGTGCTATAGAGATAATATTTTTATATCACATTTTCATAGAACTTTTATATGTCATTAAATGAGTGGATGCATTTAATATCATGAGTCCTATATGAATTAATAAATCAATTATTTTAATAACACTTCAAGTTGTATAAAAAAGTAAAACAAAAAGGTTGTACAAAAATAATTTCTCAAATAATTATTTGATTAATTACCATTCAACTTAAATTAAACACAAAAAA